TTTACACCAGTTATTTGATAATGTTTTTTAAAGAGAAAGCAGCCATACTGCCTTATTCAGGAAGGCTTGGCCTTTGGTGATTTCAGATTTCTTGGCACTGGTGATTTCAGAGCAGCCCAGAGCTCCCTAGCTTCCTGGTTGCTACCTCCACACACAAATTACCAGTCTGTTTGCTCAGACCCCAGGGACAGAGGAAATCGCTTCCTTGTTCCTGTCCTAACAAGTTCTGGGCAGGCTTTTCTTGCCACCTTGGTTCACCGAGCACTGATCCACTGGGCAGCCCTTACCCTTTACCTGGCTACTCGAGTCACATTCCTCTCCTCCCCACCTCCAGGCATGGGACACTGTTGCTCAACTCCTCTGGCCAGACACCTCAGCTAGGGGTCAAAGTGCAAGCAAGGGATTCCCCAACTGCGATGTGCTCGTTCATCGGGTGCACTTCATCACGGCGTGTGCTGGTGGGTATGGCTCCTAGCCTGGAAAAATACCTGCTGCAGAAACTGCAAGACCAAATAATAGTTGCTGCTTATGTCCCCCTGGGAGAAAAGACAGGCAGAATGGGAACCCAACCCCTGCAGACTGAGCCACATTCTGTTTGGGGTTTAACTTGCATCCCTCCAAGCTCATCTTCAACCTACTACTCGAAACGCAGTTTAAGAGCACACTGACACATGGCTTAGCCTAATCAGAGCAGCGAGCTAGCACATTTCCCAACTTCTGAATATATTTTGCTTACAGAACAGTCTAGACTGTCTCAGAGTAACTTTATCTGCGCTTTTATCATAAAGTGAGTCGCAGGGAGACAGTGAGATGAAAAGAGAGAGAAAAAAAAAAGAAATTACATACATAAATTTTTGACATTAAAGCCTCTGCTCAAGGAAGTAAATGAACTTGGGTAGACAGACTTTCCTCAGTGTCTAGCAAGCTTTCATGAGCAGATTCAGTCTTGGATGAATTGCAGCAGATGGCCTGTGCTTCTGTGCATAGCTACAAGCAGGCACAAGAACCCAACGCGGAGCAGCACAACAGTCCAACAGCACACGCTGCCTGCTGTGATACAGGCTCTCTTTTACAGAGTCTCAACACCAAGATATTTGTTTGCACTTGTGGCTCTCAACAATAACTTTTTTTATACTTGTATGAAGAGAAATCTACCAATGATAGATAAAAATTGGCACAAAGTGGACATGGCAGAATTTGGAAGAGCAGCATGGTCCTCAATTTCTTTGATTTAACAACTAAAGTAGTCTTCCTGTCCGCAACACTTGTTTGAGCAAAACAAAATGACAGGACTCAAATATGGCAACATCCTTCTAAGAGGATGCTTCAGGAGCCTAACGCTTTGGATTTTGCAAGTGAAATTTGGCAACATTGCTATTATGTTTGCTATTACATTAGGACACCTGACAAACTGAGACTGGCATTTGTGGCTCTTGCCCCTCATCACCCAAAAGGCTTTTGGTGACAGGGTCTGTTCTGGTGCTCTTCTGCAGAGAGGGATATGGATGAGAAGAAGCCTCTGAGCCCATGCAAGGACCAGAACTGACCTCCTCTGGGTCTGCTCTGAGAGCTAGTGCTTGGGAAAGGCACTTTCCCAACTTTTCTCATGCAACTTTTCCTACATTTCTCATGCAATGTTTAATGAAATAACAGATCCCCTCCTTTTTTTTTTTTTTTTTCCAAAAGGAAAATCTTAAACAAACAAACAAAAACCCCAAGGGAACTAATACCAACCGTGAGAAATATAGTCACTCTAACTCATTATGAATGAAATTTTTACTACCTCTATACTATTTCTTTTTACTATGTATTTGTATTATTTTTCTCATATTTTTCATATTTTTCAATAAAAAAATTAGCTGTCACTGTCAATTATACAGATCAAAAGAGAGAAAGACTGACAGAAAGTTTTCATTTTCGTTGGAAAATTATACTGAAAACTAAAAACAGCAAAAAAATCCTTTTTTTTCATCATCCCTTTCAGTTCACTAAATGAATAGTAACTGAGTAAGTCCTCTTCAGAGGCTTGTTTTGCTTCATTGCTCTACATACAGTCCCATGCTTCATTTCCCAAATAATATTCTTGCATCATTTGGAAGACAATTTTCTTAATGAGTGCTTTATTTTAACCTCAATAATGCAATGTCTGAAAACTCTAGCTAGTTTTATTAGTCCACTTTTGCATCTGATAGATTAGGAGTGTGCTCTGATATGTGGTGGCCAATTTAAAATAATGAACGCCTTTTGCTTTTACAGAGAATTTTGCATTTTGCAGCTGTTCAAAGAACAACTTTCATAGCCTTCGTCCAAGCCATGAATGCCCAGCACTTCTTCAAATTGGGATGGGGTCTGCGCCTACATAAAATGAGAGCACACTCGTAATACACATTATTTACTCTGTGTAGCTTATACTGGACAGAAGACCTTGGGCAGAGGCAGGGACAGGCTCTAGCTCCACTCAGCAGCCTGACTGAGATCCCTCTTTGGTCTGTGTGCTGCCCTTCTCTCTCTGTGCAGGTGAAGTCAGGGTAATAGAGGCAAATCCCTCACTGCCTGTAGCAGCAGCCTCTGCACAGCCTGTGCACTGAAGCAGGCAGGGGGTGAGGGAAAAACTGTATGTGACCATGGGTCACAATGCGCCTTTTTTCCTTTTTTTTTTTTTTTCTTTTTAATAAATGGTCAACCTTAGTGTTCTTTAACATAGTCTTTCTTTACACATAACTTCTTAAGTCTAATCCCTCTCCCCTTGTTCCCCCAGCCAAGAAAACCATCGATAATACAGCACAGGTTGCCCATGTAACTGTATCACAGAGCTGTGTTATGCCACCTTCACCAGTCCTTAAATCTACTCTTCACTAGCAAGTTTACATCCTTCTAACAGCCAGAACAGACAAGACTTTTGAGCTAAGGAAGTAATGAATAATAAGAGAAACAAAAAGTTGTCATCCTTACCACGAGAGGAATTTATGTTATTGTTTTGCATCTACTTATTAGAGCTGTTTAGTGACAGCAAAAGGACACTGAGGCCCCACTTGGATCAGCTTGCTCTGTCCTCTCACTAGGTACAGCAGGAGCAACACTCAGGACCTACAGACAACCTCTTTGCTGTGTTTCTGGTCTGGGAGGTTCTGTCACTTTTGGATGAAGGGGAAAACAATTACAGGGACATCTCACCTATCCGGGGCAGCAGAGCAGGGCTGGGGGAGCTGGGTTTAGCTTGGAAGGATCTGGAAGCAGCTGAGAAGAATTGCCACAGAAAGCGCAGGCCGCTTATCTCAGGATGCAAAAGGTAAAAGTTTTGCCAAATCTCAACTCCTTGTTCCAAAGTATGAGAGAACTAGAGCTTTTAAACAAAACCATTTAAATAATTTAAGATAAAAAAAAAACACCAACAAAAACTTTTCTTTTTTTTTTTCCTGACCTTGTTCTTAGGAATAGCAGAACAAGTCTTAGTTAAGTTTCCCAAGAGATTTCAGGCTGCAGCAGACAACCAGCACGGAAGATGTTAGCTAGAATAGAGGTCTGACAAGATAATGAGCTACTTCAAATAAAATCTTGGAGTTCTCTACAAAGATACCCCGCCTCATTAAATAATATGTATGCTTTCACTGTATGCAGTTCATTAACATCTTATAAAAGTACATCAATTTTATATGCAAAGCATTGAGATCACCTTTATATGCAATATTTTTTTTTCTTCTCTGAAATTCTGCTGTGTTGCATCACTACATAGCTTTCCTACTGATCTCTCTAAGCTGGGTTGTCCATGATATATTCCTAAGGGAACAAACTGATCTAGTCATTTTAAAAGGCTGTTAATTTTTACATAGAGACATTCACACTCTACTTGCTGGTCATTTTAAGCAGATATATTCCACTTATGTGTTTATTCTACAGTTTTCCATTGGATTCAACATTTTCACAGAAAGCAGTACCTTGGTGGGTCTGCCCTGCAGTTCTCAAGAGTTCATCCTTCCTCCCTCCCAACAAGTATACCAGATACTTAGTATCATCAATGCAAGAACTGTTACTCATCTAAAACAAGTTACAGGAATGGTATAAAACAAAGGCATTTTAACATTAAGCTTGGAGTTAATTTGCTCTCCCCATTTACCAATTTCACAAGAGTCTTCTTAAATTTCACGTGATGCTCATTCAGAGTGTCACACAATTTACATTCATCTTATTGCAGAGGATATTTGGACCTCAGACCACAACATCCAGCAGTCAGTCAGTCAGTCAGTCAGGAGTGACCGACACAACACTTGTTCCTAATAAAAACAAAGCAACAGTTCCTGCGTGCTGCTGTAAGAATTAATGGTGCTTCCTGGGCTTCCTATCTCAGTTCAACTCGCTATGATGAGTGGGGAAAAAAAAAAAAAGGAAGACTGTTCATATGGATGCAGATTTGCATCTTATCTAACTCTGAAACAATTCAGATCCAGGCTTCCAGTCAAGCCTTTTTTTTAGTACATCCCATTTAACAAATTTAAAACGCCACACCAAAAATCAACAAATGAGAAAGTAAGGTGAAGGCCATGACAGTTTATTTGGGAAAACTGTACTTGTCTGATAATGCTGCACGTATACATATTGTGGGAGCATATCTAAGTAACGGAGGCTTCCCGATAGAAGACAGATACAATGAGCCAGACTAAGACCAAGGCAAAAAGATCGTGGGAGAGTCAAGACTCATATTGAAGCCTTCAGGAGTCGTGTCTGGCCTCCCGCAACATATCACAGCTTAATTTCCCCTGGACACGTACACTTCATTAAGACTAATCTCCTGAAATACTTCAGCTGGACCAAGATCAAATTCTGAACAGATCTTAACACCTCCATGGGGCATGAATTTGACTGTAGTCTGACCTAATTACTGCAAAGATATTTAATGAAACAAAGCCTGGCTTAAGCAAACACAAGCCATGGAACTCAGCTCAGAAGTAGCTCATCGCTATCTCAAATAACTAAACTATGTATGGGAAGTTGGAGCTCTATACAGGAAGCAGAGAGTTCTGAATGTAGAATGAGACATCATGAAGAAAATAAAGAGCAAGTCCGCCCTAGGATGATGGTCCATGCTTTGTTTCCTCCATGCCGTCTTTTGTGGCATGCTTTAGCAAGTTTGAAAATGGTTTCTTTCCTCACTGATTGTCCTTTCTTTTACAAATACTGCTTTTTCCCACCTTATCATTTTGTATTTTTTCTTTGGCTATACATTAGCAGCCCTACTGTATGCAAAGTGCTCAAAATAGCAATCTCAAAGCATTTTGGGATTAATCTTAAAAGCAAACCACATTCTTAAATGTATTCCTTTAAAAGAGCGGTGTGGGGTCAAGCTAGAGGAATTGATGTGATCTAGTGGCAGAGCTGAACCTTCTGAAACACAGGTGAGGAATGATTCATACCAAAATGTAACTATCACTTAACTTCCTTTTCCAGTCTTTTTTTTGTGTAAGCTACTTGCGATTAATTCAATTAAAAACAAAAAAGTAAACATTTTGCATCCTTGGGAGGTTTTGTTATTGTTTTCAAGAGAAAAAAAAAAGATAGGATAAATAAAACCTCTCATACTGACCTATAAGAAGGACACCAATAGATTAAACAACTTCAGACTTATTTCAAGGGAAAACAGTCAGAAAAGTCTTTAAAAATATAGTGTTTATGTATATATAAATGCACCCTGCTTGTCAAAAATATTTGTACAAAAATTAAGACAATTGTTAATTCTTGAGTGTTATGAACATAGAAATGCCTCCTGTTTTCCAAGTCAGTTCAGTCAAGACTGATTTCAGATCATTTATGCTACTAAACATACCTGAAAATCTGTAACTTAGTAAACTAATGAATCACAGTAGAGTCTCAATTCAGTCAACTGGCAATGTAGATGCAGGTCTGAAATTAAACTGAATCAGCAAGTGAACAATTAGCAGATTATTTCAAACTTAAAAGAAAAAAGTTTTAGCCCCTTAGCTTGCATTCACGCTCCCTTGATAAATATCATTTTCTAGGCTAGCTCTTCAAGTTTTCACTCACACTAATGTTTTGTATCACAAAACCTCTCAATATAATATTCTTTCAGGAAAGGGGATTTAGTGGTGTTGTATTTTTGTAGATGTGCTTAAGATCCTAGTACATGTAACAAGAAGTCTCCATTTTCAGGGAAGGTGTGAATGTATTTTAAATTCTCTTTTTTGAGCCAATATTTGTTGAAAGACAGAACTTGCTGTGAAAACTAGAAGGCAGCTGATTTCTTTCCATTCAATATGAGGTTTCATAATCAGTTTCTGTCATAGGCATCAACCCTTCATTCATTCAATCATAAAAATGTGACTTACTAAAAAAAGGAAAAAATAGAGTCTAAAGGCACAGAATCACATAGCTGCTCTAGCAGGAATCTGTAAACAGAGAATTGTTTGAATTTAGGAAATCCAAATCTAGGAGAGTAAAAAGGCATCTGAAGCAGGCGTTCTTCTCTAGCCAGCTTCCTGAAAGACCCAAAGGGTTTTGAGGTCTACAAAGTACGCACTAAAATACCATACTTCAAAAAGCAATAAGGCAAATAGTATACTCATTATTTCAAAAAAGTTACAATGGTAGTGTCGCATACACAGTATAACTTAGTTACAATGCGTGGTACTGTTTCTACTACATAGCCATACAGCGGTTTCTTTTCTACATAATCAGGTTAAACTGGGATTCCAGGTGAACACAAGACCATCCTCGTACCACCACCTACCACTGGCAATATTTTCTTAACAGCAGCAACGTGCTGCTGAAGTCATTTTCATACTGAGGAAAGTTCACAGATGGAAGTTCAGAGATTAAACACTGTCATACTTGTGAAGGGCTTCTTCCAACTTTTGTGTCACTTTTTGAAAAAAAAGTATTTGCTGTTGCAAGAAATGTTGCATCTGTGATTTAAAGTCCCTTACACGGATTTTGTGGAAATGATTAATTTCTGCTAGGGTTGCAAAAGAAATAATGTTACAGCGTTCTTGAATGCCCTCTGCTTTCTGGAGCTCCATCTTCCCTTCTTCCACGTGCCGCTTGCTCTCCTTCACTTTGGTAAGGGCTCCTGCGTGAAGGACACAACAAAACAGATGAACTGGATGGACAGAGCTGAACTGACCACTGTATTTTAACAAATAATCTAATACTCAGAGACACGCACACACACACATATATATACACACACTAAGCTGTTTTTACAACTACAACATTAAAATCTGTAGTGCAATTTCAGCATTCTGGGTATTATTTTTGGAAAAAAATCCAGAAAAATGATTAGTTGCACAGATAATCAGCTGATAATTCAATTATCTGAAAAATACCAAATTCTCCAAGAATATGTTAAAAAAAAAAAAAAAACAGCTGACATAAAGGTGACATTTAAGTAAGTAAGGTTTCACATATAAAATAGGCTTGTAAAAGAGAAGTCACTCAAATTACATTCTAACTATACAAAGGCTGAATGATTATGACAGGGAACATAAAACAGAGAATACCTGTAAAACTGACTTGTCCAGGTCTTCAGTTTACCAGAACAGAGTGAAGAGTACAACTCTGAAGACTATTTTAATAATAATGTTGAAACACAATAAACACAAAAATAAACACATAACAGTAGATGTTGTCAAAATAACCCACATTTTTTTTAAAAAGATCTAGCTTGCAAAAGGTAGTAAAGAAAAAATATTTCTATTTCACAATCTCAAAAATCAGATGGTGTATTTTAGAGAATGGCTGATATATATATACTAGCTGTGGAAAAAATTAAAGCACTAGAAAACTAGTCAGATGGATTTAAGCCTATGTAAACACCATAAAAATAACCTCATGCAGAAATCTGATTTTTAGTAATGCAAGACATCAAAATGAGATCTGAAAACACAAAACCTGACAAATCTAGCATTGTGCTTTTACTTTACAGATACCCCCAAATTAGTCACTTTGTACTACAGAATCTAGAAGCTTATTTCAAAGCTGTGGAAGTCTAGGTGGAGTTAACACGGGCCTGTAGGAATGAGAAGAAAAACAGCAAAGCAAAGCAAAACAAAACAAAAAACATACTGCCTCTTTTCCTACAAATAGGGGATTAAAGAATACTCATCTTACAAAAGCAGAAGAGTGCCAAAACCAGGCTCAAACACTGACACAGAAAATGTGTCCTAGACATTCATTTTTATAGACTTAATTTCCCCAAATTGGGCAATTGCAAAAGATATACTTTGTACCCATAAAGACCAATACAGCTTTTATCTTCTCACACCATTTTGATCTTACGACATTTTTCACAGCCTTTATGATCACACTTAAGTTGCTTGCTCCTTCCCCTATTTGTAATGTATTAGGTATCTCCGTGCTTTCTATCACACACTTTGCATCACATCAGAGACTTCAGTTCGGTGACTCCCTTTACATTTTCTTGACAAAATGCTTTTCTGTGCTCCCTTCCCTCAGCAGAGACCGGCCAGCAGGCCAGCGGAGCAGCCTCTCTGCCCGCACATCTCTACGGGGAGCCACCTCCTGCCCATCTGCTGGGAGGGACATCTCGCAGCCGGAGGGCACCCAAGGGTGCCTGGCACTTCGCTAGGCCACGCGCGTCAGCTTTGGTGCCACCTTGAATGTCTCACCAGGGAACGAGCTGGAGTCAGATCAACGTGCGCTCACGCTAGCGCCAAGCTAAACACCAGGCGACTCGGTAGACTTGAGGAACGGAGTTTGCTTCATTTTTGTAACGGAGCAGGGGCTTGTGTCTTGTGTGAAATGCGGAATGCTAAGATCAGAGAAGCACGCAGGAGTTTTCTTCATTAACTACCTAACAATCACTTTTTAACTGGGGGCAGCTGCCTTGTTTTCCTCTTGCTGTAACAGCCAACACCCGGCAAACATACCCTCTCTCATCAGTGCATCTCTGTTCTTAAACCCATGTTCTTCTTCTCCTGAACCTGCATGGAGGCTGCGCTCCACGTGGCAACTTCTCCATCTGCTGTGCTGCTTGGAGCCGAAGAAACTCCCCTCGGCAGTGACGTGCCTGCAGAAGGGCCGCATGGACCCCGGCCCCTCCGTTTTCCCACTTCTAGGGCTGCTCCCAAGCTCGGGGTGCTCCACGGCAGCGCTCGGACGGGCCGCCTGACCTCCTCATCCTGCCGGCACAAGAAACGCCGCGGAAAAGCCTCTCCCCACGAGCACAGCGAGCAACGGGGCGCGCGCCCGCGCCTGGAGGCCTCGGCTTTCTCTGTGAGCAGCCTGCGGGCCAGAGCGGGATCTGAAAAGCCTCTGCTAACTCCCGGTTGCTCGAGAAAAGGCACTTCTTTGCACAAACAAAAACTGTCTCAGTACAAGTTCTCTCTACAGTTTGTTTGCATTGCAAGAATTCATGCAGAACTGTGAAAAAGAAAACCCTGAAATTTGGGATTTACTGAAAGCCAGATGGAGTTGATTAAACAAATACGACAACTCTTTAGTTCTGATGTGGGGAAAGAGCTTTAAATGTTATCTCTAGGATGACCAAACTGGAGAAAAAAAAAATACTGGAACTTAACAGCATCAGCAGCTGAAAGTATAATTCATTTTTTTGGCCTGTATAATCCTTGAATTATTTTACATCTAAAAAATCTATACATTAACAGACATGAAAACTCTCCACAAAAGAAATATTAGGTTATGCCTTTTTCTGACATTAAAGATACATAATTAAGAGAAGGAATCTAGGGGGAAAACTTGCAGCTACTAATACTCCTGTATTAATGCACAGAGGCTCATGCTGATTCTACAGTGGAACTTCATTTAAAATCAACAGAAGTTACAACAGAAGCCAGCAAAGTATGACATGAGTTTATACCTACACTAAAGTATTAACTTCACTGCTTTTTGAAGCACCTCTAATTCCAGCGTTGGATTATTAGTGAAACTGTGTTAAAGCAACAGAGAAGTTGTTTTGGGAAAACTAAATCATTTGATTTAGAATACCATCACCATCTATTTTAATTTTTCTTTGCAAAAAGTGTTGTTAGTTTGCACATCTTTGCAAACAGCTTTACTAACAATAACGTAGCATCTTTCATTTCAATTTTTCTCAGACTGCACGTACAGTCTGCAACCTTTTTATCTGAATCTACGTGGGAAGCTTTGAGCCTTACCAGAGATTCACTGCCTTGGAGGGTGCAGCAACACAAGCACATGCAAGTGAAGAGTGTTCGGCGTTCGTGACACTGATACATTCTTATTTTTCCTTACAGCTGTGATTGGCAGCACTGGTTTCCCCACAGCTAGGGAAGCTAGAAGTTTCAAGGTGCACGTGTATCTTTTGCATGTCTATTGCGTATCTTTTGCATGTCTATTGCGTATCTTTTAAATGAGAGAAAAGCCTGGCCTGGGAACGAAGGGGTTAGTGCCTGGGGTTGGTGTCCCTCAGCAACCCCTAAGGCCGCTGACCTGCAGCCAGTGCCACCGACCTCCCCTCCCACGTCTCCCCTCCCCACGCCATTCAGATACCCATGTCCTCCGCACTGGAATCCAAAGCCCTTCACCCTGGCTCTGCCCCAAACCCCCGTTTTTCTCTGAAATGCTGAACTCCTCATCCTCCCCTTGGCACCCCCTCACCTCCGGATCTACTGAAGCTGCTCAGCCCCTGCTCTGGCCTAACTGCACATGCTGATTTCTGGTTTTAAGGATCTTAACTAAACAAATATCCAGTTGGACAATCAAAACAACGAGACCTATTTCAAGGAAAATTATGGTACCCCTAAAATACTGATAGCCTAAAACAACTAAAATAGCTGTTTTAAAGGATAGAAGCAGAAGGAGCCTCCTCCCAGTGTATACCAGCTCAAGGAAACCTGCTAAATACATGTCTGGGATAAATATCCAAGAACACCCAGTTCCAGGAGTGGTGTAGTAGAGACACACACGTGTGTGAATTTTAATTCCAGCTCTGAAGAAGATCCTGTTAAAAAACCCTGCCTGTGCATTTAAAGCTTCCAGTCCAACCCAACAGACTGCTAGCAGATCTGGTTCCACTAATCAGGACTAGGTTTTAATCAGCAAAGAGGGCTTGGATCAGAAATGCTCAATAAAGCTGCACAGTATTGAATTCTGTTTTTAAAGGTGGGGAAAAGCAGATGCCAATGTTGTTTTTCATTGTCTGAAGCCTGATGTTGAACAGACACAGATGTTCACTGAATAGTGTCAAAGGCGTAAGAGAAACACAAGGTTTCAGTGCTTGCTTTGCTGCAGTGTAATGAGACATGCAAAATGATATAAACACATTTAATATGGCACAGTTACAGTACAATACTAGCAGCCGAGAAGACATAGGTAACATAAAATTCCCAAAAGAAATAAGCTGAACTTGAGAGGCTTGAGAGCACTGCGGTGGGGTTAAGCAATGCCCTTTCCTGCCCCTGTCAGCATGGTCGTGCACACGCGAACGCTGCCTCCCCCACGCGCCGGGGGACGTCACGAGCCCAGGCGGCCGCCCGCAGCGTGACAGGAAAGCCGAGGCCCCGGGCCCCGCTCGCCCAGACCGGCCGCCCCCGCGGCTCCTCGCGCCCAAAGCTGCATCTCCCTGCGCCCGCCGGCACGAGCACCCGCAGCATCCCCCTGGGCCCGCCGGCACGAGCACCCGCAGCCAAGCAGCGCGGCAGCGTTTGACAGCGCGGAGACCTCTCCCTGCCGCGTGTGCAGCTCTCCTCAGCACAGCCCTGAGTTTTGCACACTGCAGTCAAGAGCAAATAAAGCCCAAATAAAGACAAGCCTAGAGCTAGGCAATTCATCGGGGAAAGAGCCCCTTTTTGCTCCGTGTTTGCACAGTGTTTAGTACAATGGGCATCTGTTCCATGGCTGGGCGGGCTGGATTCTTAGAAAACAAAAGCAGTAATGAGAGATACCGTTTACAACTGCATCATTCTTTTCTAAAATACATCTGAGAAACTGCTGTGGCAGCAGTGACTTGACTGCAGACAGCAATATTGCATATGGGAAGGAACGGGGGATCAAACACAAATGACTGGGCTCAACATCTTCCATAAAAGACAGTGCGACAGTAGCAAGTACCTTCGCAATCACGCAGGA